CATCTCCTGGCCACTACGGATGCGAGCAGCATTGACTTGACCAGCCGTATGCAGTGATCACAGGCCGTTCTAATATTATTATTCCATTATGTAACAGTGACACCTGGAAACGGACCCATAATAGGAGAGCAGAAAACCGAAAGTCCATCTAACGCCAGAGCTGTCAAGGGACAAACAGAACTCCATAGACAAGAATGAAGTGGAGAGGAACCATTGGGGGAAGTCCGCGAGTAGCGTGATTAGCAATACATATGGATAGAGAAACAAGCACAAGACACATATCTGTCAGGTCATAACGGTCATCTCCAGCTTTCCTCTAGGCCTTGATGGACCGGAACAACATCGACGGCAGCGCCCTGAGCACCTGCCACAGGAAGAACAGGTTGTCGGTCGCCGGCGCACTGTCGTATTTCAGACTGCGCTCAGGCACATCCGCCATACCGAGGATGGTCTTGACGAGCGGTTCGGCAACGATCGTCCGGAGATACATAGCGATGAGATCATGGCCGTTGGTGATTCCCCCGCTACACCATAGATTGCCGTCATGCACGGCGCGCAGCGAGTCATCCCACTGCGTTTCGGGGAACTTCTCCCGCAGCATGGGGATCATCATGCGAGGGCCCGTTGCGCGCTTACCCGTGGCGATCCCCGCGTGCGCGACGACCAGGATCCCCGTGCAGATGCTGAGGACGTGCGTGCCTGCGGTGTTGTGGGCGCGGATGAAATCCAGATACTCTGCTTCCGGGACAGTCGAGGGCTCCGGGCCTGGGATGAGAATGATGTCTAGGGCACCTGGTTGGACGGCGGGATCGGTGGGGGAGTGGGTGAGTTGTAGGGAGAGGTGGGAGGTCGTTGCCTGGTGGGCTTTTGGGCCTGCTTTGCCGATGTAGACCACTGAGACAGGGCGGCCGAGCTCGATTAGGGGTTTGGGGAGGTTGCAGGCAGTTAGGTAGGAAGGGTCAATCATGAAGAGGAGGTCAACAGCGGCGAGGTCCAGGAGTTGGACGTTGCCGACCAGGAGGACACCGATGCGGAGGGGCTTGCGGGTCATTGTGCTTGTGTGTTGTGCTTAGGATGAAATTAGGGGAGACGAGGTTTGTCTTTTGAGGTTGCTCAGATAGATAGAGCTTGGTGAATATTGGATGATGAGAGAGGTGGTAAATCAAAGATGTACTGGAAAAGTAGTAACGGGAAGGAGCAACGGACGAGTATTATATGCCTGCTTCTTAAGAAATCAATTATAGTGGAGGGATGTAGAGTAGATTGTCTGGGCAACGCTCTGAGTGTCTGTGGTACAAGCACAAATGGATAGATGAGACAGCAGTAAACGAGGCTTCACTGTCACCTTGGGGAAGTAAGAATGTTGTCCCAATTCAGGCACAGATGAAGCCTCATTGGCAGGACAGAGATCCAGACTCACGGGGATGCCGGTGCTTGAGCGCAATTGAGCAAATTGAGCAAGATATGACTGCATCTGGTGCAAGCAGTGGTCACTTCTTTGTTTCACCTCTTCTATCCTTGAATTGGACTCCTCAGTGGTCCTTTTGTATTGTCTGCGGTCGGTTGGGATACAACCAGCTTGTAATCACCATCATCTTGACATATTTGACAGGTTCAAGAGATATCTTATTCTCCCGCAATATCCTTAGCTCCTTACCTTACAGTGGCTATCACATGCTTTCGTTCCATCACTTCTCGTCAAGGTCGAAAGGTCCAAAGTCTGCCGATGCAGATTGCCTGCCATCTCTGTGTCTCTTTGACGGATTCTTTTCTCCTCTCTTCGACTCGATATGATGAAAGAATCGTTTGATTGCTAAATTGACTTTGATGGCTGATGCTTATTGTGCCCTTGGTCGCCCCCACATTGATTGGCAACCTGGGTCGGCTTCTCCCCGGCTGTCGTCGGTGTACTGTCCTCCAGCTGACTAGGTACGTGCCATTGACTCTGTTGGTCCGTTTACCTGCACCATAGCTTACTCCTTATCTCATTCCCAGGTTAATCCCTTGGTCTGTCCTACTTGGCTTCTGACGTGAGATCCGTTGTTCCTGCTGTGTAACTGTCTCTTAGCGAGAGAACAACAGTTTGGGAAATGCCTGAGAATTTCACCCGGACAAGGGTTCTCCGACTCTTGTCATTTCAGGGCAATGATGGACCAGGCTGGTGGAGTACAAACTTTCATTCGGGAGCTCCATCTTGCCACAAAAAGTCTCCCCGCATTTTATTCCCCATGTTCTCTAACCGGCTCGGTGCTGGTCCGGTCACGCCTACGAGTCTGGCCGAAAATGATCATGACTATAAAATCCTTTATTGGCCGGAGCACTCAACTCCGTTTCTTCAACAATGCTTCTGTATCATGCTACTCAGCTTCAGAGACGGAGTACAGTCGTGCGGAGTTCAAGGATCAACTCGCGCAGAAATCAAGGAAGACGAGGGGTATATAAGAATCACTTGCTGATGAGAATGATCGCATAGAACAAGATCAGCACTTCTGAGATAATTGATGGACAGCAAGAATGACTGGGACTATGGACAATACTCCCAAGGGGAGCTTTTCCCTCATCTATCAGAATCCCTATCTTCTCGGGGTGGCATCAGTAAGTCCACTCTCTGACGGAAAGAGACAGCCAGGGCGCGATCCTGACCGTTGTCTACAGTTCTCAACCCTCGGTGGGTTGCTCTTTGGCTATGACCAAGGTGTTATTTCCGGGGTTATTACTATGGAGTCGTTCGGAGCCCGCTTCCCCCGTATATACACAGATAGCAGCCTCAAAGGATGGTTCGTGTCTACGCTCCTGCTTGGTAGGTTGAACCTCCTGGGCTTCCCCTCCAAGAACAATATTGACGCCTTGTTAGCTGCCTGGTTTGGCTCTCTCATCAACGGACCCATTGCCGACAGACTTGGACGCAAGCTGTCAATCAACCTAGCAGTTGTAATTTTCGTCATTGGTTCGGCCATTCAATGCGGCGCAGTGACAATCCCGATGATCTTTGCCGGTACGTTTCACCATACACAAGACACATCAGAGTTGCTGATCGCTTGTAGGGAGAGCTATCGCAGGTCTGGCGGTTGGTCAGTTGACCATGGTGGTTCCTCTGTACATTTCAGAGGTATGTACATTCGTCTGGCAGAGGAAGGAGAAGAAAAAGGTTACTAAGGATTGGCAGGTTTCTGTTGCCGAAATTCGAGGTAGCCTTGTCGTCATTCAACAACGTACGTTAGTCCATGGTTATTCCCTTCGGTCATCTGCTGACTTGACAGTCTCTATAACCATTGGTATTCTGGTCAGTTATTGGATCAACTATGGCACAAACTACATCGGAGGGTCGCGCTGCGCCCCGGATGTTCCTTTCAGCAATGGTGCCAAGTTTGATCCCTATCGCGATGTGCCATCGGGCGGTTGTGACGGACAGTCTGAAGTGTCCTGGAGATTACCCTTGGCTCTTCAGATCGTCCCAGCCATGATCCTCGGGCTGGGCATGTTATTCTTCCCTGACACTCCTCGATGGCTAATGATGAAGGAGCGATACGATGACGCGTTGAGGTCACTGTCCAAACTGAGACGGAAAGCTAGGGACTGCCCGGAACTCGTTAATGAATACCTGGAAATCAAAGCTTCAATTTTGTTGGAGAACACCTTTGCGCGAGAACATTTTCCCAACATGTCTGGCCTTCGATTGCATGCTGCTCAGGTGAGTGTCCTTAATCACAACTCTTTCGTTTTCGGAGCAGTCTCACTGAAGAGGACAGTATCTCTCATTCCTCACCACATGGGCCCGGTTCAAGCGCCTGGCAATCGGATGCTCCATCATGTTCTTTCAGCAGTTCATGGGCTGCAATGGTGATTCTACGTGGTTATCTCTTGTTTTGCTACTACTAACATAATCTGCAGCAATGATTTACTATGCCCCGACGATCTTTGGGCAACTTGGGCTGGACGGTAACACGGTAAGCTTACAAGTGTAAGAGTCAAATTAGTTAGCTTGACTGACTCTCCTCGTACATCTTAGACCTCACTCCTCGCTACCGGCGTCTATGGAATCGTGAACTGCCTCAGCACCCTCCCAGCACTTTTCTTGATCGACAAGGTTGGCCGTCGTCCTTTGTTGATGTCTGGGGCCACAGGCACCTGCATTTCCCTGGCCATCGTAGGCGGCATTATCGGCGCCTATGGATCAGACTTGGTCAATCATAAATCCGCTGGGTGGGCGGGGATTGCCTTTATCTACATCTACGATATCAACTTTTCATACTCTTTCGGTCTGTGTGCCCTCGTCTCGTAAGGTATCTGACATTTGACTAACTGAGAACAGCACCCATCGGTTGGGTCCTGCCCTCGGAAATTTTTAACCTTTCCATCCGCTCCAAAGCTATGTCCATCACGACCTCGGCGACTTGGATGTGCAATTTGTATGTGGTTCATTGAATGTCATAAATGAGCGAAGCAAAAGGCTACCATGAGCTGACACCTCGCCTTTCCAGTATCATTGGACTGGTAACCCCAGATATGCTCGACACAATCACCTATGGCACCTATATCTTCTTTGCAGCATTCTGTCTTTTGGCGCTGGCTTTCACATTCTTCTGCATTCCAGAGACACGCGGGAAGGTTCGTCGCCCTGTTCCCATCTCTTTCCTACTTGTGCTGCGCTGCAATTGTGGATTGGCGGCGGCTAACTTGAGAGTCCAATCAACAGACTCTTGAAGATATGGATCTCACCTTCGGTGACACAGCAGCCCATGAGGAGAAGCAGCGCATCGTCCAGATCGAGGCGGAGCTCCGGGAAACTCATGCCGGCGATCCTGAACTCGAGAAAATGCCATATGCGCGGCAGGAAGAGGATGTCTAGAAGATCAAAGAGTATATTCAGCGCCGTCACTGGGAAATCACGGTTCCTTTCGAGTTTATCGGAGTAACGTCGATGTCGTCGTTATGAACTCTCATGTTCAGTATGTGTGATACCACGTTCGATTCTGTTACAATACTTAGCCACAGTTGAATCAGTGGAAGTCGGTCTGAGGCGTGAAATTCACCCATTCAGAGAAATCCATTCCCCCTAAATTCAACTCCTGGTCCACATCCGGGAACATACTCCCGAACATGGGATCGTTGAGGAGCTGATCTGAGAACTGCATCAGCATCGGCGGCTGGACCGCGGTTGACCCCTCCGAGACGGAGGAGGTATAAGCAGGGGAGCAAAGCCTATTCACAACTTCTAGACAGCGGGTGGCGAGACGGTTGTTGCTTAGAGAAGGGTGGGTGAGAAGTTTCTTGGTGGTCTCGATGTCTTGAAGCCAGGCGGGGGCGTCCGTGCTGGTGGGATCTGTCATGAGGAGTATGATAGGGATCAGGCCAGCCTGGAAAAGGAAGTAACTGTACATAAATCCATTAGCGTTAAGTGCCTCGAGCATTTTCGAAGATTGTGGTAATTGAACGCACAGCATGTACCAAGCCCCCAGTCTCGTGCAGATGTGATTATTGACAAAGTCCGAGATGGACGAGATGGTCCACCGGGCGTTACGAAGGCATAGCATCCTGCACTCCGTCTCGAGCGGATCCTCGGGTTCCGGCGGCGAGTCCGGCGTCGGCGTCCATCTTCTCGACGCCCAGCGGAGAAGGATGGGCCGGTAGAGGAGGATTCTCAGATTCCAGTGCCGCCACATGAGGCGGTTGCGGACGAGAGCGAAGTTGTCCGACTCGGGTGTAATTGGTTGCTTGAAGTAATGCGGCAGGCTGTTGTACCAGTCTTCCATGGGTTTTGAGAGACCCAATGTCTCCTCCGCGGTTAGGCTTGGTGTTGATATCAGACGCTGGTAGACGCTATTGGTGTGTAGGTGGAATTTCGCCTGCGCGATCATGCCTGAGTAGATAGTCGGCCCGTTCTCCTCGGCGGGTAGCACGGTGGTTGTTGATGTGAGAGCCTGTGATTTGCGTTAGATATTGAATGAGCTCATTAGAATGCTTGTGGAGGGGATTAGTATTACCTCGTCATGAATGTTGAGAACGTGTTTTGAATCCATGACACTGTCCTCTGGTAAGAGGATAGGTCGACCAAAGGTTTTCGCCGCGCCACTGTCGAATATATACACACCCCACCATAATCGTCTCCTCATCTCTCGCTGAAGTAGACTGATTTTCCACCCTGGGAACTCCTTGTGCAGACCAAGGCTCATGGCCATTCGCACAGCCAGGCCCAAGAAATTCCAGCCGGTGTTCGGCTTGTTTCTCTTTTGCGCATAGTTACTCAGAAGCAGCAGGGCCAAAATGAGAGTAAGATTTCCTGTCTCAAACACAGACACCTGCTGCAGGTGGCTTCTGGCTTCCTGGTAGAATGTGATATCAAGGTCGGAATTGTCATCTCCAATGCTCCACGCCCCAAGGGCTAGAATGGTATTGAGGAGAATCTGCCACGCCTGTCCATGGGGCCGGGGAGCTTGTTCATAGAACTGCGCTTTGAAGGTAGCTTCGTGCACAAATGGATAGCTGGTATGGTAGTTGAGAAAAAAGGCGTCCATGAAGGCTTGTTCAATGAGCCCGGAAGGTGCAGTGCTCAGAAGCTGGCTTTTTAAAGGCACTCTTTCCGCTGGCTTATTCGGACTAGCGGGAAAATTCAGATCGAAACCATGCTTCAATAATGCTCGAAGAGGCACCACACTGGAAGATGCGCCTGTGGAGGGAGTTAGCAGCCGTTTAAAATTTCCTATGTTTTGGTCCGACACGTACCGAAATAACCTGTTCCTTCGGGCTTTATCGACAAGGCGGCCATTCCATCCGTCAAATCGCCTACTGTGATTCTGTTCTCGGCCCAATCGAACCCGTCCGCTTGTTGCGGAAGAGCTTCAGGGGCTGGTTCGGTTCGATCTGCCTCGGCCTTGGCTGGGGTTGAATGCCTTGATGAAGACTTGGGCGAAGACACAGGCTTCTGCGGTGCATCTTGGTCCTGCAGCAACGAGCGAACAGTAGCGTCCAGGTCACCTCCAGGGAACAGCCTTCCTAAAGCTGTTTCAAAGGCTTGCAGGCGCTCTTCGACGTAGGTTAAATGTCTGACAATAACGCGTTAGCCATTCTGTAGTAGTAGCAACGGAAGAGCAAACTCACTGTCGAGTGAGAGGACTTCTGGTGATTTTTGGACTGTAATTGCATTCTTTGTTCAGCTGCTTGCATTGAGCGCATGTGGGTCGTTCTTTCGAACACTGTGAAGTGTCAATTAGGGGTTTATCTGGTCATAGCAAAATGGACCTAACATACCCTAGACTTTCTTAAACGGCACTCATCGCACTGGAAACAAAATCAGTCACTCCCGATTCCTTGACTAGGATTGGTGGAAGTCTGGGGCACCTACAGCATATGAGTGAGAATCACGAGTACTGGCCATTTCTATCGATGATAATCTGGTTGTTTGTAATGTAGTTCAGGTGTACGTTGAGAGTTACACCAGACTGGTAGCATCTAATCGAGTATAGCAGAATTAGCACTCAACGCCGGTTTCATCATTCCGCATCTTCTCCCCTGTACCGTAGTCAAGCATGAGCTCATTGATTTTGAAAGGAATCAATGCGCAATGGCCAGGGTGACTGGCCGTATTGCAATCTACATGGGAGAATAGGGGGTCCAGAAGAATTGACAGGGCATTTCAAGCAATGAACATAACCCGTATTCACACCAACAGGCGGTATACAAGTATTTAAAGACAGATGGACTTGCGACAAGACAAATCGGGAAATATCAATTGAATAAACAGAACATGACCAGGGAATCTCACGGCGAGAGGATATCGTGGGGCCAACTCACGATCGGCATAGGAACAGTATAGGATCCACGCTTCAGGGACCGGACAACCAGAAGTCACAAACTGATGCAGTTTCCAAACCCATGGGAAGGTGAGAGGATAGCCTTCATTCGACTTGGTATTTGAAACTCAGACTACTGGATTCTGAGTCGAGACATCCTCGTTTTGTGCTGGATGAGAAGAAAGTCGTGTGGGGAAGTGGCAGTCAGTCAGGTGATGGGCGCAAAATTTTGTCGAATAACAACGATCCATTGTTGTCCTCAGGCACATCTGGCAATTCGGGTCGATTGGGGATCAGTAAGTCTTAGGGAAGAATTACAAATTACTTGGTACTTTTTATGATATGCTACAGCTCTATCATTCAGGCCCTTTGGCAATGTCATTTCTGGAAATGTCTGCTTATTTCGCCGATTGTTGAATAGATCAGGCTTGTGTTGTAGTATGCTTCGGCTCGAGGAGTTGCAGTACACCTGCCAGAGTAACTACAGCATTGTTGAATTTAGAGCAATTGGAAAGGGATACATTGATAGAACGAGCAATATTGAGTTATTTTATGGGCCTCGCTGCATATGATCAATGGCTGACGAGCACGTCCCACTACCAGCCTGGCTGCATCTTAGCCCTTCAACGAAGTATATTTATGCAATTCTCTCCCCATATCACATGTCTCTTTCCATGCTGCGTATGCTTTCTTTTCTATCGCCAGGATGAGCTTTCAACGAGCTCATTGCGACTACTAGAAACTAGAATAAATGAGATATCTTGAGATAAAAAGCCAGCAGGACCTCTAGATTCGTTCGAGCGCAGACTTTGAATGGCATCCTATTCATCCCAGCTGCCTGAGGCAAGGAGGCTGTCTTGGCATCCACGCGGATATCGACCAATCAGTCATATTTTCTATACAACGTCATCTCCCCGATACTAACAATATCGGACTAAATTCCGCACAATTACGGTACTCTCAAGACAGAGCTCATCTGGGATTTACGAATATCAGTTTTGATTGCGCTCACCGGTGCAACATCCTGGAGAAAACTGTCGTTTGATTATGCCCTCCCAACCAGCAGTACCGCCCCTCCTAACGCCATATGTAACGTCCCTCCCTCCCTCCTCTCTCACAGTCTTGTCCTCAGTCCTAAACGCAACGGGCAATTGGCTCGTCCTGCGATTTCTCTATGCTGCACTGAGCGCGCCGTCCAACTCGTACACTGCGTTCGGTAGCGATGGCGTTGATGGGCGGAAAAAGCGCAAAGTCGTGCTTGTAAGTTTTTTGCGGGGTTGGGATTTTTGGAGGACAGAAGCAAAGAGATTGGTAAGTCTGCTCCCCCTACTCGAATTTTTCCTAGCTCAAAAGTGTAGTCGCTGTCTATGGGCTTCATTATTTATGACTTCCATTCCCTGAATTTTCAATCCAGTAACAGACTGACACTCCTAGGGTTTGGACCTTGCGCGCCTGACAGACAAGGGCCAATTTGCCTTTGTCGATGGACTCTCGGAACTCTTCTACGCGCCTTCGGCGACCCAAAGATCACCGGCGCCAGCATCCTCGCCCTCTGCCATTCCTCCAAGGACTGTCCTCCCTCTGCGCACATCCCCAGGCACTGTGCCGGGACGAGCTCCGCAGCCTCTGCCGCGACCGAGCTCCACGGTCCCGAGCACAGCCTCGGCCGAGAGTGGACGTACTAAACGACTACATTTCTCCGGCAGCGGGTTCGGAGCCCTTGACGCACTCGAGAATGACATCGCGAATGTGATCGGACAGCTCAAAACCTCGAAAGAGGGAGATGAACGGGAACCCGAAGTACTACTGGTCATTGACCAACCGGACATGCTCCTGGCCGCTTCGGGTCCGAATAAGGGTATAGGCGCTACTGAGATGGGCGAATGGGTCATGGGACTACAAGAGGTACGATCATCGAGGGAGAGCCAATTACTGTGCTGACCGAGTGTAGCATGCTTATGCGACAATCCTGACGCTTTCCGCCGATTCGCCGTTGATACACAATGCATCAACATCCGCTCCGCAATCGGCAACGCCATTGGAGATGGAGCATGCCACCTTTGCCATTGGATCGGCTCATCGGGCAGAGATGGTCATGCAACTGCGCAGTTTGGAAACGGGTGCGGCCAGGGATGTCAGTGGAGTACTGAGGATAAGTAAAGGAGGCGCCTGGGGAAGGGGTGAAAAGACAGGTGCTGAGGGTGATTGGGAAGAGAAAGAGGTGTTGTACTTCATTCAAAGAGACGGAGGCGTCAGGATCTTCGGAAGAGGGGAATAAAAGTGTTGCCTCAGTTGTCGATGGGAAATCTATCTCTTCCGGAAATCAGGCGTTCTGAGGCGCGGAGGACAAAATCAAACCAATGCGACGGCGGGTACGAAATCGTCGTTTGAAGTGTTTTTTTCGGTCTGGATATGCAACAGGCCTGTACAATGCGAGAAAACGGGTAAATTCAGTAAGACAGATCGTAGCATTGGGAAGATATCACAACACTGCATCTGCCACGCGGGATATTCGCCAGCCATAAACAAGGAAAAGAAATCCACGGCGTGCTTTCCCTTGCAAAAATCCCTCGAATTTTTGTTCGGTCTTCCATTTGTCGTCAAATTTGTGCCCATTTATTCTTTTAGTCTAGAACATGATTGCTATGACGGCAAAGAGAAGACCCGTCCCAACACCAACTCCATGGGAAAGCGTCATTTTCGCCTTGCATTGAAACCGGTCACTTCAAATGCCAGGACATTCATACCAGCCCTCTCCAGCCTCCGAGAACGAAAACGCGACGTCGAATTCAATTTAGTGGTTCTCGGGACCACGGGCGCCCTTGGGAGTGCCGACCTGGAAGCCGTTCTTGAAGCGACGGTGAACATCCTTGAGGTGGCTCATTCTGCCGGTGCCGGTGGTCTTTCTTCTCTTGGCCTTCTCGCTCCAGTTGTCTGTTGTTAAAAGAAAATCCGTAAGCCAACATTCAAAAACTCAACCGCACAACCGTGCTTGAAACGGTCCCATTGTCGACCAAGCACGGGTTCAAACAAAAGAGATAACGAAAATCGGGGAGTCCGTACACTTGCGAACCTTAGCGGAGGGGTAACCGCAGTTGGCACAGGTCGACTTCTGGATGTGGAAGGAGCGGCGGCCTGCAATTGAAAATCACGAGCTGTTAGCCCATCTGAATCCTATCGTTTTCCTCCGGCAATATTCCAACACCGTCTCCCATATAGAGATCCGCATGAATCTTCCGCCGGAACAATCTCGAAAGGTGTAATACTGACCACAACGCCGGCAGAGGGTGTGAGACTTGTTGTGGCGCTTGCCGAAGCTGGAGGTACCCTTCGCTGTAATCGTTGTCAGTCTGCTAGAATCTTTCGACGAGAAAGGCCATCGGCGCTCGCTGAAATGTCGAATGTGCACGTACTCATCTTGAATTAAGGAACTGCGGAATTGACGCAAAATTAGTACAATATGTCGCTTGAAAATAAAGGAAAAAGGGTACGGCAACACACGCAATAGCAACTTACCTGGCGATTCCGTTGAAGGGCTGGTTGTCGTTGTCGTCGTCGCTGGGCGTATCGAAAGTTGCGCTGAGATCTGGGGCGGGTGTCGCTAAGCGAGTTGTGGTATCCAGGGCTTGTGCCCTTGTCCCGTGATTCCAGAATCTCCCGCGAACTTAGGGGTCACCTGACGTCCGAACTGGACATCGACGCCACTATAGATGCACTAGTCCATTTCAGGATTAGCCTTCTTTGCTTAACTACTCTAGTCTACTTAAGAATTGCACTGTCCGTCCAAAGCAGAAGACTTCAATCGCCTGCAAGAGCCAGGTGAACTAGCGTTCGATCGTCTTAATTGTTTGTATATCTCACTAACGGGATAAATCGCATGATGATAGTCCTAGGTATAGAGAACATTCTCCTGAATACAACTTAAATGGGTATTGAGTAAATGAAGATCAGCCCCAAAACGCCCTCCTAGTGATGCAAAAATGGCATATGCGACAATTATAATTTGAAGCTTAACCTAAGGTGTCACAATCATTCTTTCCCGATGAACGAAGCCATTGGATCGTCAGCGGCGAGACGGCTTCGTTTGTATGACTCCAACTCTTCCTCACTAACACCAGATTTCATCTCCATCATTGTTCTCTTCTTAGTCGTAGTCTCGGTGTCTGCTTTTCGCTGACTGCGATCGGCCGAGTCCTCGGCTTCATGGATGTTGTTTGTCTGGCCCTTAGCCGGAGCGGATGTTTGGTCACTCGCCTCTGGCCCAGGCAGCAAACCCATCGACCTCATTTCTGCTTCCTCGAATGCTTTCTTACCATCTTCACCGGTACAATAGCTATTTTTCACCGTTGAAAAACAGCAAGCGTAACCCCACTGGAAGTCATGCCACCAGCTTCCAAATACTGTAGTGTGGTTGTTCACCAATACATCTTCTGGATATTTGGACTTGACTGCGTTCTTCGGCGCACCCTTGATTGCGCCAGTCTCGTCATATTCGACGAACCTTTCGTTCTCAATCACCATGGTTTCCCGGAGGGGCGTAGGTTTGAGATGCTCCTCGCCACCGTATTTCTCCAATAGTGCCTTC